CTAGAAAAGAAATTTCAAGAAAATTCCAGAACATTCTATTCTAGAATAAAGCAAGTTATCCAATTTGTAACTTCGCCGGCGTGTTTGGAACTTCGAGCAAAGACCAGAAAATATATTTGAAGAAAATTCAAGGGAAATTCTAGAACCTTTTGTATATGCCTATCACAAGACAACAAGCCAAAATGGACGAACAAAAAGTTGAAGAACTTCTGCGCAAAATGTTGGAACTTCAAGAGACCAAACGACAACGAGAAAAACAAGACGAAGAAGCTAAACGACAACAAAAGAAACAAGACGAAGAGGCCAGACGACAAAAAGAAAAACAAGAAGAAGCTAGACGACAACAAGAAGAAGCTAGGCGACGACAAGAAGACCTTGGAAAACTGCAGAAGATATTCCAAACCATACAAGGAACTGTCGTTAACCAGAAAATTGAAGAAGTTAAACACGACGTCCAGGAAGTAAAAACTGAAGTCAAAATCGATGTTCAAGAAGTTAAAGACGATGTAAGAGAAGTTAAACACGACGTTCAGGGAGTAAAAGCTGAGGTCAAAGCCGATGTTCAGCAATTAAGACAAGAAGTTGAGGACCAAGTTCAAGCACTCAAAGATAAGATGCGTAGATTAGAAATACAGTCCATCAATTCAGCTAGTGTTGGAGCATTCTCCAGTATGAAGATGAAACCACCAACTTTCGACGGTTCTACGTCCTGGACCATGCATATTCGACAATTTGAAGCTGTTGCAAACAGCAATGGATGGAACGAGCAAGAAAAAGCTACAGCACTAATAGTGGCGCTACGAGGACCTGCCTTAGACCTTCTTCAGTCCATTCCTTCAGTCTACCAACAGAATTACCAGCATCTAAGTCAAACTTTAGAACTGCGCTTCGGAGATCATTACAGACAAGAAGTATTCAGAACTCAAGTCAAATCAAGAGTTCAAAAACCCGGCGAGAGTCTACAAGAATTCGAATCGGAAGTTAAAAGGCTAGTGATTTTGGCGTTTCCTGCAGCTGGGGAAGACATGCAGGAATGGATGGCAGTATCTACGTTTATTGATGGTCTCAGAGATTCGAAGATCCAGGAAAACCTAAGAATGTCCGAGTTCAGACAAAGTAGCGAAGCCCTTGTCCGAGCATTAGAACTGGAAGCAATCTTTGGTGCCTCACGACCCAGAATACGAGCAGTGTCCATTGAGGACCCAAAGGGTAAACAATTGTCAAAAGAGGATGGTAGCTTCGAAGCCAAAATGAGTAATTTCATGGAGAGAATAAAGAAACTGTTACTAGAAGATAGAAAAATGGGGAACGATTCCAGACAAACACCAACACCAAGAAACCGAGTAAAATGCTACCGGTGACAACAGCTTGGACACATGCAATGGGATTGTAGACTAAGGATGTCCTTTCCATCTGGGGATCATTCTCAACGCTTTTCAAGGTCTAGAGACGCCAGCCCTAATAACAAACAGGAACCAACTAGTACGGAAGGGAGGATGCTGGCTAGTAATGACGAAGCCCCCAGAGTTGTGTACATAAAATCATTGGGCAGTCATTATAGAGGATTAAAATTCGAAGGACGAATTAATGGAGAATTGAAAACCATCACTTTTGATACGGGTGCTGAAGTTTCCATAATTAGAAGAACATTAGTCAAGTCTCGGGCAATCCAACCGCTCACTAGAAACCTGTCACTACGAACAGTCACCGGCGAATCTGCATCAGTTCAAGGAGAAGCTATGGTTGAGCTCACTTTTGTATCTACCACCTTCAGGCACAGAACATTTGTCGCCGATATAGAAGATGATTTTATTTTGGGAATGGATTTGATCGGTCAACATGGTTTCTCCTTTGATTCTTCCATGAACATCCTTAAATTTGGTAATGAAGAAATTGTCCTAACAACACAAGAAGAATCCAATGCCGTTAAGATCTTGGCCACAACCCCAGTGAGGATTCCTGGAAGTACTGAGAAGATCATTTGCGGAAGATTACAAACAAACCCTGGGTGCTGCGTTGGGCTAACACGTAATTTCATTGGAGATAAACCAGAAAGATTTCTTGTTGGAAAGACTCTAGTAAGAACAAATGGAGACATTATGATAAGAATTGCCAATGTTTCTTCCGAAACAGTAAGAATAAAGGAAGGAGACATTATTGGAGCTCTCCAACCGGTGAAGCAAATATCGAACTGTGACCTACCATATAAGCGACGTTTTGTGAAATCCAAATTGGATACAGACACCTTGATGCAGACTTTGGCGAAATCATGGAAACAACTCGATCCAGATAGACTTCAAGAAGCCACAGATTTCATCTTGAAAAAAGCAGACGTATTTGTGATGGACAATCAAACCGGACGAACCAACTTAATTCAACACAAAATTGATACTGGATTGGCACACCCAATTAGACAACCACCACGCCAGTAGCTATAAGCAACTGGTATGGCAAGTGGCAATACATGACGCTTACCCCATTTGTTTGGAGAAAAAATAGCGTGTTGCATACGGAGTAGAAGCAATTTTTGTGCTTCAGCAGTATTGCAAGCCTCACTACGTTCGGCTCGCAAGCCTACTGCTCCGGCACAAAAAAGTAAAGCTTCTACTCCTAATACAACAATATACTATTTTTACTACTAACCAGTAACCGAAATAGTCATTAATCATTTTTTCTAAGAAAAAGCAAAAAAACAGGTTCCTGTATGGAGATCATAGGAAATTATCATAAGCTGTAAAGCTGTTGATAGAGAGCAGCACTTTCGACAAGAGAAAATAATTTGAACACATTTTTTTCATTTTTCATTAGTTGAAACTAGTTTTCTGATACTGTTTCTGACTGTTTTCAACCAATAAAATTTGGTCTGACTGGTTTGTGATTTGTGCAGAAACAAACCTATTATATATTTAGGTAGAAAAGATAAGTTGCTTATATAATACCGATTTTGAGATCTGTGCTCAAATTATTTTTTCTTGTCAAAAGTGCTGCCCTCTATTAACAGCTTATGGTAACCTCCTATGATGTATATACAGGAACCTTGTTTTTTTCTTGCGAATGCCGGTATAGTTATTCACAAATCACAAATTTAATATCAACAGACAAATGTATGTTTCTGTTTGTGGTTTATTTCTCTGCCTATCTGCAACAACAAAAATATTATTAAATAATATTTTTTTGTGTTTTCGATCAGTTAATTAATAAAAATCTCAATCCCCCCACTAGGTCAAAGTACAGTGACTGTCAAAGTACCAGTGATGCCGTATATAGCGTGTCGTTTCTCGTCTTGACACACTGGCCCCTTGACGTAGGGTGCTTGCAAGGATAATACACACTACTACTACACGATAGTCTATATTCATAAGGCCTGTGTGGAACAAATCTGAAGCCCCCACCGCGCCAAATCACCAGTTGTGACGTAGACAGCATTTCGTTTCTCGTCTTAAAGTAGGCTGTTTGCACCACAGGTTATGATTCCGCGGGCTTTTGCTTTCTGCATATTTGATTTTTTTACATTAATTAACATTCTAAAACAATCCCTTTTTAGATCTCGTTTTCATCTTCCTCTTCGCCTATTATGTTAATCAAAATTCAAAATTAAATAATAATTTTCTTCATAAAAAATTCTAAACTACGACCGCTAGTACAAACAGCTGACGACATAGTTATATGCTGTGGTTATGACGTTGGAAATGGTGACTCACCAATATGGCGGCAATTACCAAAAACGAGGTTGATAAGCCATCCTAGAGTTTGTATTTTCCTTGCACTAACCCTACCAATGGAGTTCGCTATTAGTTTCAATGCACTTGGTTCTGGAGGACTAGGAGATTCCTCAACTGCGTGCTACGATTTTTTTTCCCACAAAAAAGAGATTTTCGTAAAAAATTCCTACCTTTTTTAATTTTCATGCTAGACAATTAATTTTTTACACATACATAGTAGATGAGGCAGGCTTCATTGACCCCAAATTTGGGCCCGGTCCGATGGGTCGTTTCGGCATAATACCCTTGTCAAGCAAAATGGGGATGTTTCTAAAGCAGTCTGTCAAAGAGGATAATTTTTTTATATTTATTTCGAAATGCCAAACTATCGATTCTCTATCTCAGATTTTCCATTTAATTTTTTTATCGCAAGTAAAACGGCTTCGAACATGACTGAAAATGGAAAAAATTGACGGGAATTCAAACAAAGTGACAGCGAGCTCCCCCCCGTCCACGCAAATTACATTTTTTTCCATTATCAGTGATGTTTGGAGCCGTTTTACTTGCGATAAAAAAATTAAATGGAAAATCTGAGATAGAGGATCGATAGTTTGGCATTTCGAAATAAATATAAAAAAATTATCCTCTTTGATAGACTGCTTTAGAAACATCCCCATTTTGCTTGACAAGGGTATTATGCCGAAACGACCTATCGGACCGGGCCCAAATCTGGGCTAAATGAAGCCTGCCTCATCTACTATGTATGTGTGAAAAACTAATTGTCTAGCAAGAAAATTAAAAAAGTTAGGAATTTTTTACGAAAATCTCTTTTTTTGGGGGGAAAAAAGTCATTTCTCGAAGACTAAAAGACCTACAATGGGCAATGATGGCTCATTTTAAAGCTTGTTCATTGCTCTAAAACTATTGCCACAGTTGCAAAACCATCCGATCATTAGTTTTCGAAATACAGTGAAATAAACAAAAAAAGCCCTATTTTTGCACTAAATATTGTTTATAAAATCCCCTGAAAGTAATTAGATGTTGCATTTTTGGTTTTTAGCATCTATAAATGATCCTTAACAATACTGCATTGATAGTTTGCTGTTAAAATTTATCTGCCCTGGTCTAATACTGAATTGCAAAGTAAGCTATCGAACCGAATCTTCGATAACTGTGCCGTTCGATAGTGTACCGAACCAAGAGATTCGGTCTACAAAAAATAAATACAAAATAAGGCCCCCGGAGGTGTGTCTAGTTTTGGTGATATCATGTACAAAACAATAGTTTGCATTTCATATAAATTTTGTATTACAAAATTAAAACTATACTTAGCATTACATTTGTTCGAGAAACCATTTCTCATTTTTTTTTTTTTAAATTTCTAAACTAAGCCAAAGAACTGTTAGACCATTGTACAATTTCTGTAGGCACACCTGAAGACCTACTGATGGCCTCAGATATCTGGTGTGGAGTCACTAGGAGCTTGAAAAAACGATATTCCTTTTTTCCCTGATGACCTATCATGGAAATTAATTCCAGCTTCTAAAAAAAAACATACTTTTATTAATAGACCTATCTAGTTTACCAGACAAAGAGGTAATGATACGAAAACTTCATTAGATAAAAAAAGACAGAACGGTCATTGCGCAAGACGAGGCAAAACGTACCAAATTATGTTAGACTTACGTATAGCGACCCTAACCGCGAAATTCGCTCTTTTTTGACATTGTTTCGACAATTTGACGTTTTATGCGTGAATCAAACGTCAAATTTTCGACGTCAAAAAACTGCGAATTTCGCGATTATGAGTACTAGGCTTAAAAAGGGAAGGAGTAAAACTTAATTCTCACTTGCAAGAAATTCGCTATTTTTTGACATTGCTTCGACAATTTGACGTTTGATACACGCATGAAACGTCAAATTGTTGATGCAATGTCAAAAAAAAAAGCGAATTTCGCGTAAAAAGAGCGAAATTCGCGCACGTGAGAATGAGGCATTAAGCTTAATTCTCACTTGCGCGAAATTCGCTCTTTTTTGACATTGCTTCAACAATTTGACGTTTGATACACGCATAAAACGTCAAATTGTTGAAGTAATGTAAAAAAAAAGCGAATTTCGCGCAAAAAGAGCGAATTTCGCACAAGTGAGAATTAAGCTTAGGACCGCGTGTTGTACATACAACGTATTTGCCAATGAAAATTTCAAACAACTTGTAAATGTCACTTGTCAAGCTATGTCAAGATGAATATCAACCGTACGTTTATTCTTGTCAAACCACAAGCAATAAACAAGGACAAAAAGATGCCCAGCCTACAAAACGAACACGTCACACCTGTACAGGGTGATTTATTATAAATGTCACCCCCTGCTAACTTTTTCAGTTGACGTTTTTGAAAGAAGTGTCAAATACAAAAGTTTCAAGAAATTGTCAAAAGTTTTTAACTAAGTCAGTTTTAGGCATACAGGGTGCGTCAAAAAAATGCAGAAGTGTGAAATTATATTTTTCAAATAGAACACCCTGTATATTGTATGCTTATTTGTTAGTCCCCTTTAACCTGATTTCAACGATATACAATTTGATATGTGTATCTCTCGGTTTATCTCCAATAGTTATAGGGAAAAACGCGAAAATCCCTTCCCTAGGTCTCTTATGTTATTTTTTCAAAAAAAAAAATAATATTTTAGTCATCTGGATTTATTAAAATATTTAACCTTGTATATTTATGAATGAAATTTTAACAATAAATTAATTGTTCATAAAAAAAATTCTCTAAAGCTTGAATGGTATTATAATTTTTTTTTTTCAATATGAAAACTTGGAGGGAGTTTTCATGTTTTCCCCTATAACTATTGAAGATAGACATATCAAACCATATATGGTTGAAATCAAGTTAAAAGGGACTAACAAATAGACGTACAATATACAGGGTGTTCCATTTGAAAAAATATAACTTCACGCTGCTGCACTTTTCTGAGGCACCCTGTATGCCTAAAACTGACTTAGTTAAAAACTTCCGACAATTTCTTGAAACTTTTGTATTTGACACTTTTGTCAAAAATGTCGAATGAGAAAGTTAAAAGGGGGTGACATTTAAGCCGCTTTCCAGCTGACGCTTTTGAGCACGCAATCGAGCTTTTGCGCGCGCAAATGCTTCAAGCGCGTGTTCATGTTCCAGCCGTACTGCGCTTCAAGAGCTGCTAATGCGTTTCAAATACAGAACACTGTTCTGCACCGTGCTTGAAGCACACAGCTGGAAAGCAGCTTTATAATAGATCACCCTGTACTAGTCAGCCAATGAAAAGACATTGCAGGCATTGCCTCGTGTTGCCCGCGCATTGCAAATAAAAATAAATAGGTTTATTATTACTTTTTCATTGGATTTCAAAAGGGTCAAAAGTGCAGTTTTATTGTCAAGAATATACACTGGCGAGCATAAAATTAGGGTCACCCATAATTCACAATTATTTTTGAAATGTCAAGTTTTTGAGATTTTTTTTGTGGGTGTAGCATAGTTTACTACTCTATGCGATGATTTTATAGTGGTTGTTTGAATTTAAAAAAAGATGTTGTTATTTTGTTTAAAGTTTGTTAAAAAAAGGGTCCTTCGCCGAAATTCCTCAAAAGCATTATCAGCATATTTGTGTATTCCATGCATGGTATCTCTCATGACGTATCTCTCAATAACAATAAAGTTAGTAAACTGTATGTACACCCAAAAAAAAAAATTCTCAAAAACTTAAAAATTCAAAAATAATTGCAAAGTATGGAGTGACCCTAATTTTATGCTCGGCAGTGTAGTTGGTCGAGGTTTGCAAGTATATCCTATTCACGATCTGTAGTCCAAAGGTAAGGGTAAATGTATCACTTTTCCCTATCAAATAGCACTGAAAGGTGATAAAGGACCCCGCAGAAACCTTATGAGAACTGGCCCTCAGTGGAATCTCATGAAATTTCGCATATTGATAGTTCTTGACCTATAGATTAAAAGTGTCCATGGGCACAAAGTTCTAAAAATTCGCCTTTTTGAGTTACAGTCGTTTGGAGTTGCGTCATATGTGAAATTGCTCAAACCTTATACAGTCTAGTCTAGTTTTTTCTGTTACTCCGAGTGAATGTTCACCCATGAGAAGAAAGTTTAACTTACGAGCTTTAGCGACTGGGTTGATTTTTTTCGAATGGTAAAAAGCTTTATTTTCTACTGAATATAATCAAACATGTACCTTTACTACCTGTACTCACCTCATTATTTACCCATAATTATTTTTAAACCCCTCTAAGGGCGGGTATTATAAAACTACTTTGAGAGTTTACTTAAAGTTAACTTCTGAAAATACATGTAATTCAAAAAGTTAACTGTCAAAGCAGTTTTATAATACCCGCCCTTAGGGTGTCTCTGGTTTAAAAGTCGCCATTTCTGAAATCGAATAATTTGAAACGTATTATAGCATATGTCGTTCTAAAATTCACAAAGTAACCGAAAAAACTAGGATTATGAATAGATAATATGTATTATCAACAAAACTGTGTACGATCAGGCCTTTTTTTTAATAAAAAAAAAGGACTTTTATACCGTCACGCATATTTGGGCCACTCAGAAATATTTTCCTAAAAGTCTTACGAATAGTATAGGTTGATATGTGAAAGAAATTCCTAACCTTATTAGTTTGGAACCAGACCGACACGCGCTTTATCCCTGTATAATAGCCGTTTCTAGCCATAAAGTACAAATACAAATTTGCAGAGGAAACTTGAGTACAACCATGCTGATTCTGAGGACAATTTCTAGCGCCCGATTTTTTGAACGTTTAGCCCTTTTGTAATACTAAATAATTCTATGGTAAAAAGTGTACTTACTTCAATATGTTCAAAAGCCTTCATAACAACTGGTCTCTGCACACTCTGCATACTGGAATGTTTGTTAGCAAATTTCACATAACGTGTAAAAATCATTTCGAAATTCATTGGATTATTATCGTAAATATCGCACTGGTGTTTCATGGCTACTATCAGACACAACTCTAGAAAGCTCAAGTCTTGGAGAATTTTGACCATGTCGTCTTTTTCTAACAGATTTAGTTCTTTTTCAAACTGTTGAACAGTTAAAATCTGGTTTTTATTATTTAGGGCAAAAACACATTTAGCCTAAAAAAAATATATGAAAAAGAAAATTATACTTTTCACTATACAATGAAAGAAAGAATAGCTACTCTAGAAATCCATCTTGTAGATAATGATAAAAGCGAATTTTTATTAAAGGCAATAATTTTTTAGGTCATGTTGTTAGTAGAAATGGTATTTAACCTAAAAAACACCTACCAAAATTAACTTCAATATATTTTCATTTAACTCTAAGTCCGTCAGTCTTTGAATTATATTCTTAAACTTTTTATCATTGAGTAATGTTTGAATACTGGTGTTCCATTTCTTCTTTACGGTACTGCTGGTTTTGGCTAAATTTTTCTCTGACAATGGTATTTCCAAATAATATTTCAGTCTATCTAAAGCAAAATCTGAAATTTAAAGAATACAGTTAGTAATTGATTTACACAAAATATATCAAAACCTTAGCCACCTTTCAAATGAGCAGAGAAAAAGCTATCAGTATATTAATGTTTTTGTACTATACCTACTGTATTTTTTTTATAATCTACCGATCCTGTGTTCATGTATTTTTTCAATAGTCCAATTCAACATGACGTATTGCCTAACCAAAATCTTTGAAAAACAAAGCTGACCAAGGTGTTCTTCAAGTATCTCATATAATGTAGTTTTGAAAAATTGTATCCCACTTACCTAAATCTGAAATTTCAGAATTTTCTTCTGGTCCAGGATAAAGAAACATTTGTCTGTGAGAAAATCGAGATTTTACTCTTTTCTCTAATAATTGGATTACATCAATTCGACACGTTATACCTAAAATGAAAAATTGTGTAATAACCCAATACAATCAGATAAAAAACTTAAATATAATTACATACAGGGTGTCCTAAGGAAAACAGTCCACCTCGATTTATTGCATTTAGAATGAGAATCTGGAAAAACGCTCGGACACGTCGATTTTCGATTTGAGGGGGAAACATTTTTCAGTTTTTTTCATCCCCGTAGCTTCAACCCCCTAGCTACAGGGAGAACCACCTCCAAATTTGAAAAGGGGATAGGGGTCGTGTCATACCTCTTTTTAAAAGTCTCATCGAGTTCTTTATGGCCCTAAAATTTCGTCTTATTATTTTCATCCGTAACGAAATGACAGCTTGTCAAAATCTTGGAAATAGACTATTGTTTTAGTGGGAGTAAAAGCCATATACTTACCTCCCTTAATAAAAATACTTGAAATTGAAATTTTTTATCATTATTATTAATACGTGAATTGTAAATTGTAAGTACTTTTATTAAGGAAGGTAAGTACCTACCGCTTTTACTCCTACTAAAATAATGGTCTATTTTCAAAATTTTGACAAGCTGTCATTTCGTCACGGATGAAAATAATGAGACGAAATTCTAGGGTCATGAAGAACTCAATGAGATCTTTAAAAAGAGGTATGACTCGACCCCTATCCCCTATTCAAATTTGAGTCGTTATTCTCCACTTAGCTAGGGCGTTGAAGCTACGGGGATAAAAAAAAACTGAAAAATGTTTCTCCCTCAAATCAAAAAACGACGGTGTCCGAGCGTTTTTCCAGATTATTATTCCTAATATAATAAATCGGGGTGAACTGTCCCTGAAACACCCTATATATAATTATGTAGTAGTAGTAGTAAATATGATGCAAATATGATATACGATGTCCTTATATTTGTCGTAGGCTAAAGCCAATAATATAGGCAGATGGTAAATTGCCTAAACATTTGCTACATGTCATAGGAAATAGCAAAAGATTGAAAAATTAACACTAGTCTCTCTGCATAGGTATTTAGCATTTTCTGATTTCTGACAAATGATATATGTCTAGAGATTTGACCAACTAGGCAACTAGCAACATAAATTGAAACCTAATAAAATTTTGTTATTTACTCGGTTATTTATGTAGACATTATTTCACTAGTTGGCAGCAAAAGCACAGCTTGCAAAAGTATCGTTTTTGAAATTTAGTTTTACCGCAGCTTAAATTTCATGCTAATGCTGCAGTTAGACGAACGACGCGAAGCGGAGTTCGGATAAGCTTTAAATGCGGGAAAACTGCTTTGGGTACCAGAAAAAAAAGTGTATGGGAAAAAAAAAATCCCGCATAATAGTGTGCGCAAAGTAGTTGATTTGATGATTGATTGATTTTATCCATTCTTTCAGGCATATGCTCAGCACTGCAGCCCTAAAGACTTACTGTGTATCCTTGCACATGCCCTACTTCTCCTCATTCACTCTATAGTTACTTTGCGCACACTTTTGGGGGCTTCTTTGCGTACGCAAAAGTGCGCGTAAAGTAGTTACTTTGCACAATAAAACAACCTGGTTAAAGGATAATTTAATCCATATGAAGTTCTATAAAACTGGTCACTCAAAGCCTTCTTTCCTCTGAAGTGTCAATTCTAAGCCAGCCTTGCAATGATGAATAATAATTTTGATATATTGGTATCTTGAGTTTATCACTAATTATTCTCATTACCTACCTATATTTAGCATACTACTATGGATTCTATATCTGGGGTGCGATTTTCGAAACCATTCATGTAAATTTCGTACACGAAATTTGACTGACAGCAATGTAAATTAAATGAGGCGTATTCGAAATCGTATCAAATTTCGTATACGAAATGTACTCGAATGGTTTCGAAAATCGCACCCCTGAGTTTAATAGTCAACTAAAGATCAAATCAGTACTTTAATTTAAAACAGTAAATGTCACTGAATTTTTCCAGTGTATGATTTAAAATTACATTAAATACAATACCCAGTCCTTTAATCTTCCACCTTATTCAGTATTGTGGAATTTAAAGTTTGGTTGAATATTATGGCGTTCTGGATTCTATGAAACCTCATTACTTACACATTACTGAGCACATTACACTAAATTTGTTTAAATTCAGCGCAGGCTGATTATTCACACCACCATTCATCAAATCAAAAAAGAGCCCGCTGAACCTAAACAATCCTGGTACAATCTGAAATCAGTTGGCAAATAGGAGACTTTAGCAATTTTTTATGCAACAGCGAAGATCATTAACAAATAAATTGAAGAAAAGGGGAGATAAATGCCCGCAGGGGGGCGCAACAAGCCTCAACTACAGATCATTATGTATTATTTATATTAACTATTTGTTTTCTGTAGCTAATATAACTTTTGATCCAACTGATTTTTTTTTCCTGTATACCATACTGGTTCAGATAAAGGCCGATTTAAACTATAGGTCAAGTCACAGCCAGATCAAATATCATGGCATGTATTTCGAATTCCACTTCTCACATTGGAAGGCAAAGTCAAATAACTCTGCGTTAAATTAGAGGTTATCACTTGACTAGTAGTTAACCTACTATTGTGAAACTGGGCCTTATATTGTGAATGCTGTAATTTAAAACACATGCCATGATATTTTGATCTGACTGTGACCAGATCGTGAGTTAACCCAGAATATGAATCTGCCTTTAATCAAAAAAATCTTATGGATAAAACATTGAGCTTGTGAATTTAAGATAATATATCACTATCTCTACTTACCTAGTACACATATAGGAGCTTGAGCACTCTGGGAAATATCAAACAAATTATACAACAGTGTTTGATTATGGTGACCACAAAACAGGTCAAACTCTTCCAATATAAAAATTACACTCTTTGATGTATGCTTCTCGCCTGAAAAAAAAAAATAATAATATCTTCAAATTGAAGCCAGAAACAAATTTTATGTATTGTTACGAAATTACACCGAGAGCCATATTCTAAGAATCTAGCTGTTTATGCTTAGTCGCGCTTTAAGCATGAACAACAATATGCGAATGAAAAAATTCTTCTAGATAAATCCAAAATGCGACGCCGTCTATAAATAGCGCGTAGTCTGCAGTTTAATTAATTAAAGTTTCTGTTAGCTATTACAAATAACAATTTACTCTAGCAAGGCAATAGGAAAAATAACAACAATGTTAGTAGCAATTTTTTTTTGATGATACCATTCTCATTGGAACTTGCCTGTTTTCAAACACGCCAACAAAAAAGCCAAGTTTTCAGCAAAACTGCCAAATACTTTACCATCGACGGCATTGTCCAAATTCATTTGAAATGTGATACTTTTTAGAGCCAATCTATCATTGGTGTGTAATAATCCATGAAGTTTCACTATGATACAGTCATCATTGAAGGTTTTCTGGTTTGCTTGGAGGTCCTTGAGGACGCTGTTGACTAACTGGAAAAATAATAAGGTTTGATCAATATGTAACTTATTTCTTCAAATTTATAAAAAAATTAAATAGAAGTTTCAACAAACAGAGGATTATGCAATTGAATGCATAATTGCAAAGAAAACAGTAGAATTGAATACAAAAAAAAAAGAGCGAGTTCAAAGAAAATTTTTGGGAAAAAGCTAATATGCAAAAAGTACAAAATGTAAACTAATTGATGGTTGATGATGAAACATCAGAATCTCGATCAGAATCAACCGATTCATTAATTAGCTTCCATGATTTAGAAAGTGGAGAGGAATATTTCAATGATCCAGAACAGCAGCTGGAAGAAGAGCTTGAAGTAGAAAAGTATTATGCAGTTGCCTTCTCTAACAAATATCAAATTGGAAAATTGACAAAAGTAGAACGACATATAACTATTTTAGAAGTCTTGAGATGGCCTAAAAATCCAGACCTGGACGTTGTAAAAAAAAATATCTGTATTTGGTACAATCCATTTTAAAAACTATCCATTTACACCAGTGGTTCCCAAAGTGGGCAATAACGCCCCCCAGTGGGCGCTACAACCATCTCGGCGGGCGGTAAAGAGCTCAGCTGATTCTGGGGGGCGGTAAGCACAAATTAGTGGGCGGTGGAAAATAAACGAACAGATCAGAAAAAATAAATAAAATTAAATAGTAAATGGCTTTTTACGGAAATTACTCTTCAATACTATAAAGATGAGGCTTATAGTCAGTCTTTGTCTATCTCTTTCAGAGTCAATTTTGGCAAGCTTCAAGTTATGAACGCAACCCGCACGCACCTCAACTAAATGCGATACCGCTAATACACGCATAAATCAGCAGCAGCAGCAGCAGCTGCAATAAAGTTATTGTATTTTCCTTATAAATAACTTCAAAAAGCTCAAAAATTAGCTCTGTCAAGTAAGCCCCCCCATTCGACTTTTCTAAGAAAATTGCATTTTACATTTTCAAGTACCTGAAATCCTAATTTGAAGCCAAGTATCTACCTCACACCAAATTCTTTTTTATTTATCATCCTCCTCTGTGCCACCCTGTACAGGGTGTTCCATTTTGGTTGTACATAAGATAAGAGATAGGTAACTCGGTTGCTATTAGAGTTAGGAGGATGCGGTTTTCCCGAATGGTGGTTACTTTTTTGCCAGCCAAAAGATGCCACCGACAGAATTGTCATCGCCCTTTTTGTTTTCAAGATACAAGGTGTTTTTGAAAATGTTGCATTTTGGGACAGCCCTTTGTATCTCAGTTCTCTCACAAGAGATCAGGTGACAACGGATTCTTATAGATCTTTTCACGTAGATTCCAGTGGGGTAGTCAGTTTTTTTCTAGAAGTGACACGAGAAGTGACAGTTTTTAAATTATGAACCAAACATACGTTTTTTCAAATTGACCCTGTATATTATTAACTCATTGGATAGCTCTGCTTTTGCTGATTTCAATGATATAAAGTTCGATAGGTTTATCTCTAACAATTTCCGAGCAAAATTGTCTTGTTTTTGTCATAAGAAACAGAAACAATGTGTTAGGCAGTGACCTTTCTCATTTTCCTTACAGATATAAAGTCCTTTTCAAACACATTATTATTTAAAAACTATCACTTCTAGAGAAAAATTGACTTCGCCATTGGAATCTCCGTAGAAAGATCTATAAGAACAAGAACCTGTTGTCACCTTTTAGACACTTATGAAAAATACAAGGGGCGTCCCAAAATACAACATTTTCTAAAAAACCTTTCAAAATTACAGAGAAAAACTTAGTTTTGATATTTTGTTGTTTTAGTCTAACCCAATTATTATACATAGTGATCACAATCATTCACAATCCTTACACAATCACTCACAATCGCTCACAATTGTGACACAAACAGTCACAATCACTCGCAATCATTCACAATCCTTACACAATCAGACACAATCATTCACAATCAGTCACAATCATTACACAATCGTACACAGTCTTACACAATCACTCACAAGCTTAGCAAATTTCCTTAAAGATTGTGGAATTTGGCAGTCGGTGTACAAATTTTGGGTCAGCTATTCACCCCTTGGTAAAAACAATATTGGTCCCAACACAGATCCTTGTGGAACACCATTGGTCACAGCCAAGTTTGATGACTGAGTATCACCAATCTTAACAAATTGTTCTCTTCCCGAGAAATAAGATTCAAACCATGAGTATGAGATTCCTCCGAAGCCATAAATTTCTAGTTTTTTAAGCATTATTTTATGATTTACGCAATCAAAGGCTTTAGAGAAATCACAAAACACAACGGCGACAAGCTCACTTTCATTAAGACTGACGAATACCTGTTCCAAAAGATTAAACATTGCATCATGGGTGCCCTTTAATGGTTGGAATCCAAATTGAGTGTCACTTATTATGTTGTGTTTTGAAAAATATTTTAACATTCTTTCTTTAACTAACTTTTCAACTATTTTTGACAACGTCGAGAGAAGTGATATTGGTCGATAATTACATGGTTTGTCCAATTCGCCACCCTTATAAAGAGGCAACACAATAGCTTTTTTCAGGCAGTCTGGAAATACTCCTGTTAAAAATGAAATATTAATACATTCAGACAAGACATATAAGGCATTATCAGGCAAGTTTCTAAGCAAATTTATTGAAACATTATTGTGCCCACTGGATTTATTGTTTTTTATTCCTCTAAAGATTTCATTAAGTTCTAATACGTTTGTAGTTTCCAGTACAAATGTGTCATTTATTTTAACATCCAATAAATAAGAACCAGGATTCACATTACTTTTCAAGTTTTTTTGTAAAGTATCAGCAACACTACAGTAGAAGTTGTTGAGAATATTGGGATCTAATTTAACATCTGTTTGAAGAACTGAGTTTTTACCAGTTAACTGATTAATTATTTTCCAGTTTTCTTTGCTGGCATTTTTGGAGGAGTTTATTCTATTCTGATAAAACTTTTCCTTAGCTGCTTTTAAAACACTTTTGTAAATTTTTCTATATCTGCAGAAATAACTTATGAACTGAGGACAATCAGTAAATTTGCGAATATTTTGTAACGGAACACATGTTTTTTGATGAAACTTTAATAGCGGGAGTAATCCAAAGTTTACTTTTCTTTCGCTTAATTTTTTGTAATGGAAAAGATTTTAAAAATGCATCAGTTACTAATTTTTGGTATTCGTTTAGTGGTGATTGACAATTCAAAACTGCTGGCCAATTTAATTCCTTGCAAATATCTTTAAATTTTTTATAATTGTTGCTGCTAAGTAGTCTACCAACTTTATATTTTGGTGGTTTATTTATCGCAAGTTGAAATTTTGCTAAAACTGCCTCGTGATCCGAAATGCCTACAGGAATTACACTACAGCTAACAAACATTTGCTTTAAGACAAAATTTGAACACAGATAATCGATTTTGGTTTGAGAATGAACAGTTATTCTAGTAGGTTCGTTAACATACATCTCTAGGTCAAATGATAAAAACCAGTTAGACAGAATTTGCTGTGCCTCTGATCTGTCATCATCAAAATTTATATTAAGGTCTCCCCCTAGTATCAAACCTGCCTTGGGTGGCAGTTTTGATAAAAGAATTTCAAGATTTTCAAAGTATTGCTTTAAGTTTGAATAATAGGGGGGCCTGTATCAATTCAATTCTCAGCAGTCGTACGGGACGGTCGTGTTTTTCCGTTCGTAGGCTCTGCGGGTGTTGAATGTTTGTTTTGTTTGTTTTGATTTGATTTGTTTGATGTTTTGTTTTGAACCAACAACACATCGAAGTGTTATTGTTCGCTGTGCGTGTACTTTCGCTAAATTAATTTTAAACTAGTTCCTGTTTTATAAACTAGTTCCTGTTTTATAAACTAGTTCCTGTTTTACCGGTAATGTTCCTGTGAAATTATTGAACTTGAACCTTGCGTGTATTGAACTTCAGCCTTGCGTCGTTGCTTTTCTTTGTGCAAAAATGGCCGAGTTTAAGTGTGACTCCTGTCAAAAAATCACCTCTGACAAGGACAAGTATAAACTTCGCTGTAGCGGTGAATGTCGCCGGCATTTCTGTATGAGCTGCACTGGTCTGGATAAAATGACAACAAAGATGCTCTGCCAACAAAAGTATCACAATATTAGATTTTTCTGTAATGTCTGTGATTCTCCAACGTTAAAATATCTTCACGATAAAGTGTCTCAGCTACAGAAAGGCCAAATCCCTCTGGAAATTGTAGAGGCTCTGGGTGCATGTCTTAAGAACAGTGAAAAACTTCATCCGGTCATTTCGGAAATCTACGACACCTTAAGCGCTCATGATTCCAGGTGGAGCGACTTATCCAAGAAAGTGGATGACATACACAACCACCATTCTGAGTACTCTGAGAGTGGACAACAATCTCTATTCCATTCAATTAGGGAAATGAAACGAGACTTGTGCAACATTTCGTCGATCTTCATGGACGGTCATGATGAGTCTATAAAGGTTCAGGTACATGACTCTTCAAAAGAAGAGTTAACAAGGGAAATGGCAGATTTGAGGAAATGTGTCAACCAAATGGCGCTCACGTTGGAAAAATTAGCAGGCAAGGAGAAACCGTCTACTAGGAGCAGCCCGCCACCTGTAAAAAAGTCAATTACAGCGTCGATTTCAACCCAGACCGATAGTGAAGAGACATCCCCTGTTACGCAAGTGGTCATTGATTCCCGAGTCTGTCCCCCACCTCAGAATTCCGCCCTAAAAGAAAACTGGCATTATGTGGTAGTGTCAAAAATCCCCCATCCTTTTACAGCAAAACAGCTTGCTCATTTTGTAAAGGAAAAACTTGGAACCACGGAGTTTATCAGATGCTTTCCAATGCTCCAAAATAAAGACTGCTCTCACACTGATTTCAAAGTTGGCGTTCAAAACAAAAATCACCTAAAGCAGCTTTTGGACAGAAGCATGTGGCCTCCAGGTACGGGTATAGAGACTGCTAATTCATCTGCAACACTTTTAAAGGCGTCGCCACCGT